CAAGAAAGGTAGTGCCGGACAAAACAATCGGATCATTTCCGATGAAGCTTCCAAGAACAAAGAAGAATGCATAGAGATAGAAATAAAGTCTATGCCCAACCTTACCACCTTTTTGTAGTACTTTAAATGCCAAATAGCGAATACAGCCAGAGGCATCGATGGAGATAGCGATGTATGCAAGACTGAGAAAGAAGACCATAATATCGATAGGAGATATGTTGTCGGCTTTGATAGTCCCCTCGTACACCTCCTTGCGCCCAATCGCCGAAACCGCCAGGAGCAATAGGTCGGCAATCAAAGGTGCTGTCACAAAATTGAAGGGAAAGTATATGCGAACGAAACGGCCAGCATCCTGATCACGTTGACGCTCATTGATCACTCTCCAGGTACTGAGAGTGTCTAAAGCAGTATTGAGAAGGCATCGAGGAAGATAGAGGGGTATATGGAAGGGAAAGATGACGACAACATCTAAACAAGAGCAGCTTGTCAGGTACCGAGCAGGTACAGATCATAGGTACTTACTGGCGAGGACAAAAACAACAAGCGTAGTGATTGAACGCCAGTCTTTGATCTTGTTTGTGTCGAGTTCCTCGACCATCTTGCACTCTTCCTATATTACTTCGAATCAACTGAGACAGCCGGCGGATGTGCTGGAATGAGGCCCTATATAGTGTATCAGTTGCCGAGCCCTCGTGCTGTCAACCTACGGTGTTATTGGTTATTTTCAAGGCGATTGCGTGCAGCGCTTTGAGTACGAATCGCTTCGAAATTCGGCAGCTATGCTTCCAAGGCGTCTCAATCATGTTGGTAATCTTTGTGCTCGTATTCTGAGAACCAACTCGAACACACACGCATCCTGCTCAAATGGCGATTTCTGGCCGATGATGGCCGGACCGATCCTCACCCTCCAGAGCTTTTCCAAACTAGGCACGTCTTTTACGAAAGGTAAATATAAGACCTCTTTGAAGGCTCGAGAGTACTTGAGTAGATAAACTGTCCACCATCTTTCTCAGTGTAACAGGTATTGTGAGAGATTGGTTTCGCCCGCCTCGCTGGGCAGCAAAAATCGTCCGTGGGTAAGTCGGTCTCTTCTGGAGGCGAGGAGACCATGCCTTTCAAGCGGCTGACTTCTCTTCTGGTTGACTTTCTCTCGAGTGCTAGAGGATGTGAATGCTTGCGCAAACGCTGCAGTGATGGTTGAGAATAGTGAGGTTTCCCTGCATCACATGGTACAGTTGGCAGTGCCCCACCGGAAACACGCTAGTCTTGGCGAACATAGACACATCTGCTCTTTTTCCCTTCGCAAATCTCGTCCGAAATGGCGTCCCCAGGCAGCAGTCATTTGAGGAGTGCGGCGGAGAACCCCTCTCTTCGGTTGCTTGCGAAAGTTTACCGTTATTTTCGGCCTGTCGTAAAGATTTCTAGGATTTTTTGGCGCTAGTGGAGAACGTTCATCTACAAAAGCCAACAGTGAAATGTAGCAGATAAGAGGAGCTTTCCAAAGTTTCTGGTGGGCACTGAGGAAGAGAAACTATAAAATCTACTTTGAGAAGTGTGAATAGCCCTGTGTTGGGACTGATTTTCGCAACCGTATACCGACTGGGGGATATTCGGTTTCTGACCCCTGAAAGAAGTTTCTGCGAGAGTTTAGCAAGAGTTATGGTGGGTAGCTATTGCAGCGCTGATTTACTTAAAGAGGGCATGATTCCAAGCGCCGCCAGCTCTAAGACTTTCTGGTAAACGTCATGTCAAATACCAAGAAAGTTCATTGTTCACAACGCAATCTGCTACTATTCCTCTAAAACTATATCTACCCTGACTACCCTATCTATCCCCCAGAACACAAATCCAACCGCTCCCTCCCGATCCATTAACAAGGCTAACCTCATCCCTCCATCTAACCCCCCCCAATAGACTCCACAACGCGTCTGCCGAAAAAAAAACAGTTAGGTACCAATGAGTCTGTAACCGAATAACACATCGCCAGATCCAGTAATGACAGTATCCCCGGCTCCCATTCAAATCGAGCTTGAGCGAGGGAGAGCAATGGTTAGGCATCTTCAGTGTAGCTGCTCGGGTCCCCCATCGGCCTCGCACTCTGATCTTGTACCTTCTTTTTCTCACGGCGAAAGTACGCTCGTTTTACCCACTTCCACACCTCAACACCAGCAAAGAACAGAATCGCCTCGACAAAGACAATACCCCATTCCCACGAAATACCCGTATGCTTGAAAACAACTGTGTTCAGCACAGGAATATACAAGATAGGGAAGGTAGTAATCCACCCAGCCATGATAGACCAGAAGAGGAACTTGTTGCGCCATACATCGTACATCCACTGCGTAAAGTACTTCTCACTATCGGGCTGCATGCGGAAGAACGAGAGGCGCAGATTGACCATTTCCCAGGCGAGGAAGAGCGCGAACCAGGTCAGGCAGACGAATGTGGTTGCGCGAGCGCGGAAGACGAGCTCGCATTGGTCAGAGTACTCGCGGTTGCAGCCACTGCCTAGATTGCCGTCGCCGAAGCCCCACATACGCAGACTGAAGGCTGCAAGGCAGAGTGCTGCGGTCCAGAAGCCATAGACGAGGATATCGACGATAACCTCCCAGGTGAAGATACCTTGCTTTGCTTGTGGCGGGCGGTCCATAATATCTGGTGCCGCGATTTCCATGCCGAGACCCATGTCAGGCATTCCAGAGGTGATCATGATGATCCAGAGGATTTCAACAGGAGCCAAGGGGAACACAGACTTCGAGTCCTGATCTTTAAAGGCCAATCCAATCAACAGCGTACAAGCCTGGGCGATATTCTCAGCGAGCAAATGCAGGACAAACTTTTGGATGTTATCAAAGATGCGGCGGCCTTCTTCGATAGCATTTAGGATAGATGCAAAGTTATCATCCGTAAGGATGATGTCTGATGCGTCCTTTGCGACGTCAGAGCCTGCTTGACCCATGGCGATACCTACGTCCGCGTGTTTTAGGGATGGAGAGTCATTCACGCCATCCCCAGTCATGGCTGCGAATCGACCACGTCGGTGCAATGCGCCGATCATGCGAACTTTTGTCTGAGGAGCACAGCGGGCAATGACCATTGGTAAAGTGGGGAGATTATCAATCTCATCATCAGAGAGTTGATCGAATTGAGCAGCAGTCATGACCATGGCATCAGCCACATCAGCACCGACTGCTGACATCTCTGCAGGTAAAATGCCCACTTGCTGGGCAATNAAATGCATTTGTTGCTGCATCGGAGGCAGACGAGAGGTGCTCTCTCTCGAGGAAGTATCATGGAATGTTGCAGGTTCGCGAAGGTTCCGCCAGGTGTCCGTGGAGAGGTTTCGAAACGGGTATTATCGCAAGACTGTGCTGGATCAGATGAAGTATCCCAGTCACCATGCCGCGCCGCAGTCGTCGTGCAGACGTGTTTGAACGGGTTCGGAGGCCGGTAGGTATGATCTTTGAGTCTTCTTTCTCGGCTAACTGAAACGTGTTGGATATTTTCCTTGCATAAGTTATTTATTCCAAGGTAACTTTGCTGCTAATGCTTAGATCTGAGTGTCGGGCCCGTGATTTGTTAGGGGGGAGGCGCTTGCATGAAGTGATGCTCTCGATTGAGCTTCCGAGTATTGTTGAGCTTCATGGTCGTGGTATATTCAGGTGGGAGCAGGATTGTAAGGAGCAACGTAGGTTACTTGAAGCTGAGGTGATCGTCAGATTTTATCGGGACCTAGCGGTCGGTCAATTATTCCCTATTGACGTGCTTATAACCGATCGCATTGGTTTCTGACATCGTGACGATCATGGGGCGGTTTTAAGGTCAAGATACCCCCTCACCGCCTCCAGAGGGCGTGGCAATATCCTGGTAAATCGACGCGACCGGAGCGGAATATCATATTGCCCGCAGTTTCCTCATCTATAGTACTGCCTCTGTGGGAAATTCCTGCGAATCAAGGAGATAAAGCAATCGATGCGTTGAATTGGAAGGAGCATCTTTGTAGGGAATTGAGCCTGCCAGCTCTGGGCCGAAACCTGGATCTTGGCTGGAAGTAAAGTTGAGCTCCGCTCTCTCTGCACGGCACTCGGAGATCCTGACCGTATTTTGTGCGTTCCTTGATGGACTCGGGAGCTCTTTTCCGCGAATCACACTGGCTGTAGCTTTCCAAAGTTTCTGGTGGGCACTGAGGAAGAGGAACTATAAATTTTACTTGGAGAAGGGTGAATACTCCTGCGTGGGACTGATTTTCGCAACGTATACCGACTGGGGGAGATTGGGTTTTTGACCCGTGAAAGAAGTTTGCGAGAGTCTACCAAGAGTTATGGTTAAAAGCTATTGCAGCGCTGATTTACCTAAAGAGGGCACGATTCCAAGTGCCCCCTAGCTCTAAGACTTTCTGGTAAACCTCATGTCAAATACCAAGAAAGCTCATTGTTCACAACGGCAATCTGCTACTATTCCTCTAAAACTAAATCTACTTGACTACCTCTATCTAGCCCCCCGAACACAAATCCAACCGTTCCCTGCTGATGATCACCATTAGCAAGGCTAACCTCATCCCTCTATCTACCTCATAATAAACTCTTTTCACGCATCTGTCGAAAATAAATAGCTAGGTACCAATGAGTCTAGAAACGATAATACATCGCCAGATCCAGTAATGACAGTATCCCTCGTTCAATTTCAAATTGAGCTTGAGCGAGGGAGAGCAATCTTTAGGCATCTTCATTGTAGCTGCTCGGGTCCCCTATCGGCCTCGCACTCTGATCTTGTACCTTCTTTTTCTCACGGCGAAAGTATACTCGCTTCATCCACTTCCACAGCTCAACACCAGCAAAGAACAGAATGGCCTCGACAAAGACAATACCCCATTCCCACGAAATACCCGTATGCTTGAAAACAACAGTGTTCATCACAGGAATATACAAGATCGGGAAGGTAGTAATCCACCCAGCCATGATGGACCAGAAGAGGAACTTATTGCGCCATACATCGTACATCCACTGCGTAAAATATTTCGTACTATCGGGCTGCATGCGGAAGAACGAGAGGCGCATATTGACCATTTCCCAGGCGAGAAAGAGCGCGAACCATGTTAGGCAGACGAATGTGGTTGCGCGAGCGCGGAAGACGAGCTCGCATTGGTCAGAGTACTCGCGGTTGCAGCCACTGCCTAAATTGCCTTCGCCGAAGCCCCACATGCGTAGACTGAAGGCTGCGAGGCAGAGTGCTGCTGTCCAGAAGCCATAGACGATGATATCGACAATAACCTCCCAGGTTAAAATACCTTGCTTTGCTTGTGGCGGGCGGTCCATAATATCTGGTGCCGCGATTTCCATGCCAAGACCCATGTCAGGCATTCCAGAGGTGATCATGATTATCCATAGGATTTCAACAGGAGCCAAGGGGAATACAGACTTCGAGTCCTGATCTTTAAAGGCCAATCCAATTAACAGCGTACAAGCCTGGGCGATATTCTCAGCGAGCAAATGCAGGACAAACTTTTGGATGTTATCAAAGATGCGGCGGCCTTCTTCGATGGCATTTAGGATAGATGCAAAGTTATCATCTGTGAGGATGATGTCTGATGCGTCTTTTGCGACGTCAGAGCCTGCTTGACCCATGGCAATACCTACGTCCGCGTGTTTTAGGGATGGAGAGTCATTCACGCCATCCCCAGTCATGGCTGCGAATCGACCACGTCGGTGCAATGCGCCGATCATGCGAACTTTTGTCTGAGGAGCACAGCGGGCAATGACCATTGGTAAAGTGGGGAGATTATCAATCTCATCATCAGAGAGTTGATCGAATTGAGCAGCAGTCATGACCATGGCATCAGCCACATCAGCACCGACTGCTGACATCTCTGCAGGTAAAATGCCCACTTGCTGGGCAATCGCCTTGGCAGTTCCAGGGTGATCACCAGTCACCATGTGCACCGTGATACCAGCCCTGTAGCAGGCCGCAATCGAGCCCGCGGTTTCGGGACGTGGAGGGTCATACAACCCAATAAGACCAAGGAAGCAGAGGCCCTTTTCAATCTCGTCGCGGTTGATGTTAGAGCCCTCAAGAAAAGAAGATTCCTCCTTATATGGTCGATGTGCGAGAGCCAAAACACGTAGGCCTAGTTTCGCAAGCTCTTCCATGTTCTGGAGAATCTTCTCGCGCATTTTGTCAGTCAGTGGTACGGCGGTAGAGGATTCCTGATCCCAAATAACGGTTGTGCAGGAATCTATAATTCGCTCGACGGCGCCTTTGGTGAAGATCATGTCCTGTTCTTCACCATCTGGCTTCGTTCTGCTGAAGATCACGGACATCTTCTTCACGGTTGAATCAAACGGAAATTCTGCCTTCTGGTGCCACACGGCCTTTGAGCCCTTTGTCCATCGGTCTCGGTTCCAGTTGAAGCGGGAGGCGAATACTTCGATGGCAATCTCAGTCGGCTCGCCTCGTGCATGCCATTCGCCTTCCTCCGATTTGAAGACGTGAGATAGATTGGCCATGGATGCAACGTCCAGGAAATCTTCAAGAGGACGGTTGCCATCAACCAGACCTTCGACGTTCTCGACCGTGGGGCCTTCCTTCTCATCCACCAACTCGAGAGGCGGTACGGGAGTAAAAGTCACATTTCCAGTAGTTGGATTGAAAGGCTCGTTCGAGTTACCGACAGAGTATGTACCGCGCGAGGGGATCCAGGCCTTTTTAACTACCATTTTTCCCTGAGTCAAGGTACCAGTTTTGTCGGAACAGATGTTCGTGACTGCTCCAAGTGCCTCGAGCGAGTCTAACTTGCGAACAATAACGTTTCGCTCGACCATGCGCTTGGTACCGACCGCCATAGTAATCGTAAGGACAACCACCAAGCACGCAGGGATCATAGAGAGACCAGTCCCCACGGCGTAAAGGATAACTTCGTTGTCACTGGAAAACAGATTGGCTGCCATCACAATAATGGCAAAGAGTACAGCAATGCCGAACAGCAGGATTGCAAGTTTAGACAGCTTACGCTGTAATGGAGTGCCCACGTTGACTCCAAGAAAGCGGCCAACTGCGTCAGTTCCGGTCAGTGTCCATGCCTGGACATACCAGCGCTTTTTGGTCTCGCCGCCCGGGCCTCGCTTTACTGGACGACGTTTGCTGTTAGTAGCACGGAGGGCAGCAGCGATTGATCCAATTTCGGTCGCCATGCCGGTATTGACGGCCACACCTCGAGCACGGCCGCGTGTGACTGTACTGGAACTATAGGCGATATTCAACCGATCTCCGGGGCCAGTATCTTCTTTGAAGGTAGAGTTACACTCCTTTTGGACGGGCAGAGACTCGCCGGTCAGCAGTGCTTCATCGGTCTCAAAGTTCACGGCTTCAACCAGCCTGCAGTATGTCAGATTAGGTCTATCTAGCGGCCAATATGGCAACCTTTCGAGGGGCAAACGCAGGGGACGGCAAGTACTTACCGGACGTCCGCGGGAATGGTGTCGCCGGTTTTCAATTCAATCATATCGCCAGGGACAATGTCAGTGGACGGAATCGAAAAGGTTTCGCCGCCTCTAGTAACAGTTCCAGTGGGAGAGCTTAAGTTATGTAAGGACTCCATCGTCTTTTCAGCTGCATACTCTTGGAAAAAGCCGACGACAATGTTTAAAACGATGACAGCGGCAATAACACCACCTTCAATCCAGGATTGAATTCCGAAACTGACCGCCATAGCCAGAATCAGGACCTGTCAACATAGAATTGGATCAGACTCTGGGAGCTCTTATGCAAGAAAAATTCAACAAGAAAGTAAAGTGGGCCGCTTAACTAGCATCATTGCGTTGGCCACCTGGCGCACGAGAATCTTGATGATGGAGACGCTCTCGCCTTCATCAAGTTTGTTCTGGCCGTACTGCTGAAGGCGGTGGGTGGCCTCGTCTTTGGTCAACCCTTCGTCAATGTCCGTACCAATCTCTTTCAGGACGACTTCGAAGGAAAGGCAATAGGCAGGTTGGCTCAGCTTCGCATGGCCAGGGCGTACTCCGCCCGGCCCTGCGCCTTTCTCTTTTGCCATTGCTCAAGTAATTCGTTCAGCAGCTCCTTTAGCGGCAACCCTAGGAAACAATGCTCCTAAGGAGGAATGAAGGAATCAGCTTAGGTGAAGGACGGATGAAGAAAAATTAGCAACACAGAGGGCAGGCCCAACCTCTTAAAGACCCAGGGTAGTGCTTTCGTGAAATCTCTGTCCGAAGTTTGCGAATCACTGATAGCAGCTATTGGTTAAAATCTGAAAATAGCTTGGCGCCCAGAGCGATGGCTGCATATTGAGGTTGGGCTGGCCAAGGAAGAAATTCGGAGAACCAACCATAGTGGATGATCGGAGGACAAACTGCCCATGAAGAGAGGGTCCGGGGTTCGGAGACATAGGGTTCACCGACGCGACGATGATTTCGACTTTCCCGCCAAGCGTTGAAGCTCCAAGTGTGGGGGCAGTGTCGTGCGAGGACGAATCCGGAAGTCTCCAAGGCTGCGGCATGGGCAAAGGAATGACCCACTAACCAGAGATTAGGCATATTACCGTGGTTGTACCCTCCGAGAGTGGTGAAAAGTGGGATTCGATCATCATGATGTAATTTGGGGATTTCAATCGGGCGAAAACAAAAACAAAAATATAGTACTCCACACACCTGGTTCCGACAGGGGGCTTAGCCAAGGTTACCAGGCCCTTAAGACGCCAAAGCCTGACAGACCTAGCCGTGTCTGACCGAGTAAGCTTTATCCTTTGTCATGCGCTTTCATCTGTGGGTAATTGAAGCCCCACGATACGGACTGAGAAACATTGAGCAAGGTTCTCGATCAATTAGTTGCCTCGCCTTGATCCAGCTCATAATGGCCATATTCCTGGAGACGCCGACTGGCTTCCTTGGCGGTCAAGCCTTCCTCTTGCTCAATACCGAGCTCCTCTAGCAGATCTACGTAAGTCAGTGAGTGAGCTAGCTGGCTGAGTGAGCACGCACAAGCTCCTGGTTAGGGGAAAAGCTACGCTTCTCAACTCGCATTATTATTCGTTTTCGATGTGATTACCTTTCCAGAGATCGCTAAAAGACAATCAACGAAATAAGTCAGAATGCTGCTGGAAAGCTGCGTCGCACGAACGCGTACCCGAAGCGCTCTCTCCACGTCTCTGGTTCCCAACTTGTTTGCGTGCCATCTATTGGAAGTAATAGCCTCTCAGCTTCCCAGTGTAATAGAGTTCTAGGGTCAATAGAGTCATTACACAGTTCATGCGCTACTTCTCGCGCTAAAAATTGTCCTGATGATTGTGCTTGTTTGGACTATTCACTTGAAGCCAGACCTCGCTTACATTTAGTTGATCTTGCTAGGCATACCCTTTGAAGGCGTGCATATAGGTAGGTGCTGCCAAAATAAGAGCTTGTCACATTGTGATGCGCTACCAGCTACTGGAAGATTTGGAGATAAGTGACTCATCTCATATTATTATCTGTTGGATGCCTAGTTCAGAGACAAAACGTGTGAGCTATGGAAGATATTACTTGCACTGGATGTGACCGAGTCCCAGAATGGCTGAACGTGAAGAAACCTCTGGCTGACAAAACATAAAAAGCCATCCCAGCAGTAGTACATACAGAATATAAGCCTAGGCCTTAACCAGGAAGTCCTGTGTTGGTGGTAGCTTGACAACAATGCACCTCCTGAAGCCACTGGGAACCGAGAGTTTCCGCCGCTCCTGGTCGATGCGCGGGTGTGACACTCAGCATGGAATGTAGGATCGCGCAGCTCCGCTCCTGTAAGAAAAAGAATTAGCCATCTAAACAACGAAAGGAAAGTGATAACCTGACATGGGTTATGTCTTTGATGAGGAAATACTGGCTTCCAGCTTTGCAGTCTTCAGTATAGTCTCGAAAGCATTCATCCTTGACTGTTGCCGACTTCCAAGGATTCCTCCCAGCTCTCATAGCTATGTAAACAATAGCGGCAGCCCAGATGTCGGTATATCTGGGATCAAATGGTTGCGCAAGATACTGCTCTGGGGATACATATGGCACTGAGCCACAGCGCCTGGTAGACATATGAACCTGATCTTCCCAGGCAAGACGAAAGCACTCTGCATGGCCAAAATCAGAAATCTTGAGGCGGCCATAGTTGGTAAGCAGAAGATTTTCCGGCTTCAAGTCACGGTGAGCGATCCCCATCTCGTGGAGATAGAGAATCCCGCACATCAACTGTTTCAGGAAACAATCTGCCTCATCTTCCCATAGTCGATGTGAAGACACAATCAGTGCATGCAAATCTCCACCTGAGCAATACTCCATACACCCACAGAGACTGCCGTCACCCAAGGGGAGGATCTCGAAGGCCTCGATTATATTCTGATGGTGTAGGGAGGAAGTGATCGAGAACTCCGAAGTCGCACGTCTGTAATAATCAGACTCGGTCTGAGCTGATCCGCGGCGGAAAATCTTTAGAGCATAGTAACGATCGAGTTGGGGACCCCAGTTGCGCACTTTATGTGATATTAATACAAGTGCATGAGAGCCATACCCGGCGACCATTTCGATTTCCCCATATCTCTGGGTAATGGCTTCCATATTGCGACTCTCGATGGGCCACCCTGCCAAACTGGTCTCCTCCCGTTGTTTTCCTTCCATCCACTGCGACTTAGAGCTAATGAATGGCTTGTTTTTGCCTAAAAGCCCTTCGCTGTCTATGAGGTCGTTGCTTCTCCAAAAATGTCTTCTCGGCCTTGGCAGGCTCAGATCATGTTTATGCCCACCACTAGTCCGGACAAATCTATCTTTTTTGGGTGTATTATATTTCCCAGTGCCAGCGGACGAAAACTTGCCTCGGGGCGAAGGTACCCTATCCCGCAAGGTTAGGCCCTCTGTGGAGAGTAAGCAATTACTCTCCTCGTCGAGCTCGATATCTCCCGTACGCGGTACAGAAGCCGAGTGTTTGCGCAGGCGCTGCAAGAATGGCAGAAAACAGTGAGGCATCCCTGAATTATGTATATCATCTGGATAAAATTGGGTTATGATGGAGAAAGTCTGTCCTTGAAGCCAATTTGTTATCGAATATAACGTGCGAATCTTGACTGTTTCGGACGAAGCCTTGGAATAAAACCAAGGCAGCGGGGAGTGCCCTCGTTAAATCAGCATATGTTAAATACTGCCAAGAAACGAGGGAACTTGGCGTGTGCTGAGGGCAAACAATTGGGAATATTAGAAGTCTCTCTCCAATGGCAATCGACCGAAGGCATTCGAGAGGAAATGCGTGCTATCAGGTCTAAAAAGCTGCAGCTTCCCAGGGCAAATACTTGAAAGATAGGCCGTTGATGAGGACATATGAGATAATTCGTGCATCGTCCTCATATCGTGGCCTGTGAAAAGTTTGCACAAACCCCTCATATGACTTGGCGTGCTGTATCGTGACTTGGCGTTGGCAATCAGTCATGACGCAAAGTCTGCGTTCCGGCCCAAGTTCGGCAGTATTCTTGGCGCCAAGGCGATGCAATTGCTGCCTATGTGCTCACAGGGGGGTTCCGAAAGTCAGGACGAGCAGCCTCACTTTCAGCTGAACACAGAGATACTCTCTGGACTCGATACAGACCTAAATGTAATGGCACCTCAAGCAGGACACTTCCAAGGCTAAGCCATTTCCACAGCCTGCCCTAGCCTAAGGATGGTTGATGTAGAGTTTCACATGACTCCAGAGGCTTCGGCATGTCCGGGGAGAAAGGAAATGCCTAACAGAATCTTCCTTTTTAACTCCAAGCGGGTTCGCTAGAGGGAGCATCGCTGCTGCCTGCACACGGGGCTCGTCCGTGGAGCGCCCAAACCTGCCAGTCCACTCTTGGCGCCAAGTCCGGTAAAGCTGCCTCTCCCAATTATGGTTGGACTCGGTGGCAATAGCTGAAGACGATAATCTGAGTGCGTCCCTGAACTGGCGAATTAGCACGCGCGCAAGGCAACGCAATGCCAATGTGGTGGCCTCCTCATCTACCTTGCTACAACCGCAGAGTCCATCGGTAAAAAGAAGCCAACGCAAATACGTTTGTGCCTGCCACAGGTGTCGCTCCTCAGGTCGGGTTTGAGGGATGGAAGCCTTTGTCCAATCATTATTACCCCCTCGGCAGCGGACCCATCAGTCAGGAATGGTTTATTCTCCAGAAGTTACGGGTGTCCGTTATCGCCATCCAATGATATCTATTTCCTTGCCGCCGACCTGTGGCTTTCACAAAGTGTGTCCAATCTCTGGAAGACAACTTCTTCGTACTGTAACAAAAATAGTGTTAGGGGGCCAAGGCCATGAAAGCTCCGATTTGGAGGTTTTGTCCCACCAACGGGATGGATGACTTTTAATTCCGGGTTAACAGCGAACAGGAATAATTTTAACACTGCGATAAAATTAGCACTGGGAAAAGTTAACAGTAGTTAAGATTACTGATATGATAATAATAGCGCCTTTTAAAATTATCTAATATGATGCACCTGCAAAATTTACCGGTGCACCAAAATTTACTCGCCCTCGATCGACTGCCAACTTTGGAGAAGGCCTGGATCCGTTTCTTGCTAGGTCCTCAGGAAATGAACGAGCGACCGCCAGTCATTGAGGGCGGCGACGACGGACAGAACTAGTTGGGTCCGCAATAATCCAATGCCCGATGCTCACCCCAGCGCTCAGTGGTCAAGGTCTGAGCGCTAAACCCGATCGAGCCAAACACAAACGGATCCTCCTGTACTGATATGTCCCTCGCGGTACCCTGGGAGCGCGGCAGCGGCTCGCGAGAACTCCGCTACCGTTCCCACAAATCAGGGACCAGGTCCCGAGATGCCAGGGAATCGCGGGATCGGGAAGGACCCCGCTCTACTGCGGGTGGAAAAATTTGGGCTCCTCCTTGAACGGTATGAGGGCTCGTGATGGGCCTGAAGTGTCACAACCCGTGGAGTACAGCCTCATAGCAGTTGGATTATTGCCGATGCCCATATCTATTCATATGCGCGAGGCTCCGTGGCCCGCCAGATTGATGGCAACAAGCCCGATCGCAAAAATTATCTGCATGATTTAGCTAGGTTTGTTCCACTGTGTGTTAATATTGCGTTTGTTTCTGAGGCCAAGGTGTCGAGGTTGAACTCGGAGTAGTCATTNGAAGAGCTTATCAGAGAAGCCCCTCACGAGGATCAATATTTTCTGCATCAGTCAGCAGATTATGCACAAAGGGGTTTCATTAATAGAGCGCTCTAGGATTATTCTATCGTTGTGCTATAAGCAAATAATATGCTGGATTGAAGAGAATGTTCCACAGTGACCGCGATCATCACAATCAGGGAGCCTTCAGGGCGAGTAGCAGTAATCGAGAGCATAATGATCTTGGGTCCTTGAATGTACGTTCTGCACGCAAAAACATGCATGCGACCTGCAGCTTTTTAATATACCCTCGGATCCTGGAGTCACACCAGCAAGAAGGACTCGGGAATATTTTGGAAACAGGTCCGGCTCGGATAAACGATGATCTACAATCCAGGACGCCACTCGTCTCCATCCTTTCCCTACAGCGTATTGCCAGGAACGGCAGAGCAGTCGTCGGAGCGGCGGTGTTCCTAGAAGAGCCAGCGTCGTTTCTAGGAACTTGTGCACGGTTCCCTGGAGCTTATTCTCTTTCACGGCGTTGATGACCTCGGATAAACATAATCTGACGCCCCACTTCAGCGCTTCGGCGCCCAGACCTTACCAGGATTCTGGGGCGAATCTGGGCATGAGGGTTGTCGAGCCGAAACAGGGGTTGTACTATCTATGGGCTGAGAGCCTGAATTTTCCAGCAAGGAAGAATAGGGCCAGACTTCAGCAGTGTGCTTCAGCAGTGTCCAGACCGACAGAAGCAGATATTATTGGCCAGAGAGCCCGCAGATAAGCCTTGGCATGAACATGTCAGCCAAACCGTCAGCCTCAGAAGGCCAACGATGAAGTGTTGGAGACGAGATCATTCAAGATACGGGCATCCTACGCCGCAAGCCACATGACCGATCTGGCCTAAGGCCCGTTAAGGAGATCTGACTGGAGGTCTAAGCCCAAATCAGACATAGGCTTGTGGTCTCAACACCCTAAGGTCAGAGGAGCCAGAGCAAAGGCCTAAGGTGGTAGGTCCAGACGCTGATGACCCGGGCGGTAAGATGGAGTGCATACGCCCTGAGAGGTAGCACCCAGCAGGCTAGACCCTGCGCTCCCGACCAGGCTGGTCGTCAGACCGCGGTCCTACGACCACCACAGACGGAGAACCGCCAAC